TATATATAATATATATAGTTGAGATCTATTATATATTATACAGTATATCTCAACTAGTCGGCTTTTTGTTTTATTTTGGGTGATCCCTGTTCTGGATATGCACACAAATTGCATTGCAATAATTCCCAAAATGTAACTTGTGAGGAAAAATGACTAAGTCTGTAAACAGAACACTAACAGAAGCCAGAATCGGACACGCTGGTGACTGATACAAAGAGGAGAGCACAGACGCACCACCAGACAAATCACTGTACCCAGGCAGAGCAAGCACTGTTAATGATGCTCGAAATATTGGAAGTATTGAATTATGGGTGGGGGTTTATATTAATGTTTTTCTGAAGGAAACTGCTTTTGTTTTGTGCAGGTATGTTTTATGTAGCATAATTTCACAAAGCTAAAGCCATACCATTCTGTATTGGCCTTAAATCTTGAAATTACACAATCTAATTTACATTTTTTTTAAAACTGCTCATACTATATGTATGTCGCATCTTTGGTTGTCTCTAATTTAAAACGGCTACAAATATTTTTATTAAAGGCCAGTTCAGCCTGTAATAGAGTGCAGGAATAAGATGTTTACTTGCTAGTTCATTCTTTCTTGTCTCTTGCTTAAAAAATGGCAGTCGAAATCATCCCATTTGCTCGAAAAAAATTACAAAAAAAATTGTAATCGGAAAAACATGATCAGTCCATCCCTACTTCTGAAGTCTATTGAATATAGTTCTGTTTATCTGTGTGTGACTACTGGATCTACACTGTAATTTTCACACAATAAATGAGTTGTTTGAGGTAAACAGAGCTTGATGAGCAATACTAGGATCTTTAGAGACTGCTTGCGTGTTTTGACTCTTTGAGCTTCCCGGATGCTATTGCTTCCTGAAATATACATAATCTTGCTCAGTAAGATTCTGCTCCTTCTTTTATCCTTCCTCTCACACTTTCCCTTCGTCCTTTACGATACTGCTGCATCTTTCTTTCTCTCTTTCTCACTTTCTCTCGGCCACTCTCCCTGTCACTCATGTTGTCAGGCCGGGGATGGAGTGATGCTTGGAGGTATAGAGCCAGATGGAGAGAGAGATGGAGAGGTGTGTTATTCTCTCTGCTGTCATACTTGCTTAGAATGACTGGCAGCTTCATTGATAAGTATGAGCTCCAGGGCCTTGCAGCTCTCTCTCTCTCGCTCACGAACATAAAAACCCACAGAACAGATGTCAGACATAACTGACCACAAGAGAATGGGTATGAATCAGATTGCAAAGACAATTGCCATAGTGTCTTGAATAAATATATATATATATATATATATATATATTGTCATAGTCTTGAATATAGTGTCTCCACTCTTCCATTTCTACCAGATATCATTACATCTATTTCAGGTGAAGCTGGGCTTTACCTGGTCTTGCTGCAGTGAGGATCTCTCTGACTAGGTATCCTTTCCAACCTGCCTGCAACACTGTGGCTGCCTGCATTTCCTTGTCTGTGGCCTGCCTGCCATTCCAGCGCTCTGGAGTGTCATCTTTTACAGGGAGAAAAAACACATGGGTACATAAAGTCAGGATGAGCCACATGCTATAATAGGTCTACTCTAAACCCAAAGAGCGACTCTGTTAGCCCCACATTCACCTGATCGTGCATCCAAGGCTTTATCATTGCTGTCATGTGGCGATGGGTCTCCTGTCAGAGTCTGTACCGCAAACAGCTCCTCAGAGGTCAGTTTCCGCCCCAGAGTAGAGCGAAACATATGATACACAGCTTCATTGAACACCTGTATGGAACAAAAATAATAAGCATATAAATATATTTGAAAGCAATATACAGTCAGTGCCAGGACAAATGGCTCAATTCCCCCTTACTAAGGGGGCTTTGGAATGCAAAGTCAAGTCAAGCCACTTTTTTTATTTTAAATATAGTGCTTTATACAGAACAGATTGTTTCAAAGCAGCTTCACAGTACTAAACAGGAAAATAGCAGAATCAATGATGCAAACTTCATCAACAAATTCTGATGTAAAGCATTGTCAATATTCAGTTTAATAGTGACAAAATAAATGTAGGTTGCATGGTTTTGACAAAACAACAAAAACTAAATAAAACCCCAAACAATCCTAAAATTTAATTGAAAATGAGCACAAAACAAAACAAATTAAAAAGTTTAATTTAAAATTAACTTCACTTCAACAACTAAAAATTAATTAAAGATTAAGAATGAAAAATGTAAAGAAACAATGAGTTTTTAATTAAACTAGAAATTCAAAAGATTTGCAATGGCATTTAACGGCTGCTCGCTGGTACAGTGCTATGAACATTGGTGATGAGTCATAAAGAGTTCAATTTCAAATTCTGAAAGAGCACATATTTTATTAATTAAAATAATGGTGTTTCTGTGGCTGTTAAAATTCAAAAGGAAATGCAAAATAGTTTGTTCAAATACAATGTTTTGGTTACACAGTGGTCTGACAGAGGGTGCAAGAGTCCGTCCCATTGCACCAGGCCTGTGTATAACCCACCCTTTGTTGCTGTATGCCTACACCATGGGTCTTCTCAAGTTCTTTGGTGGTTGATGGTAGTTCCTCTGGATCTGAGAAGCAGCTGATCACTCGACCCAGGGATCTCATGATCATTACAGCCTGCTCACAGAACCTCAGACTCTCCTAGACAATTCAGAAGAGAAAGATGAAGCACAACAACTGAGATTTTTTTGTCATCCGGTTGCTGCTATAAAGAACTGATACATTGACCAGTGGCAGGACTAATGGATTAATTGGCTAGTCAATGCAACTTCGAGTAAATGTGACCCTGGACCACAAAACCAGTCATAAAGGTAAATTTTTTGAAATTGAGATTTATACATCTGAATAAATAAGCTTTTCATTGATGTACGGTTTGTTGGGATAGGACAATATTTGGCCGAGATACAACTATTTGAAAATCTGGAATCTGAGGTCGCAATAAAATCAAAATATTGAGAAAATCGCTTTTAAAGTTGTCCGAATGAAGTTCTTAGCAATGCATATTACTAATCGAAAATTAAGTTTTGATATATTTACTGTAGGAAATTTACAAAATATCTTCACTGAACATGAGCTTTACTTAATATCCTAATGATTTTTGCATAAAAGAAAAATTTATAATTTTGACCCATACAATGTATTTTTGGCTATTGCTACAAATATACCCGTGTGACTTATGACTGGTTTTGTGGTCCAAGGTCACAAATGTGTGTGTTAATGTGTGCATGCCTTGTCAAGGTGTAGCATAACAGTCTCCTCATCACCAAAAACAAAAGGAGACATGCTGAATAGATGTAGGTGGACGGCCAATGAAGCACTTGTGTGCACATGAAGAACATGACGCCTAGTGAGAAAAAAAAAAACAGTGCTGATTAGAAATTTTATAGTGTTTTTTTTTTTTTATAGTCATTGGTCTGTAGTGTTTTAAACACTACAAATTTATATAGTAAGTTGATCTAATTTTAATCAAATAAACTGCCAGATCTATATGAACATACCTATTTTTATAGTCATGCCTTCACACTTACAACCAGGAGTAAATGCTTCTGCTATTGAAATCATTTACAGTACCTAGTATGTGATCATCATATGACTAAGAGTAAAGCACATATGGCCCATTAAGACTGAGCTAGCAAAGCAGCAAAATACTCCTAATTCATAACTTCAAATTAGAAGACTGATTTGCAAGATCATGCACTGTTACTAGTGATGATGTAGGGATTTCGTACATGTAGCATTTCGTACATGTATTTGTAGTCAGCAAAATCTCCTTATGCTTATTAAAGCTATTATTACAATTTCGACTGAAGTTGCTTTTACGCCTTTTAAGCACCCTCATAAACCCCCATGGAACTGGACCAGCTTTGCAATGACATATTAGCTTTACATAATTTGTCGACAGAAATCAGATTTCTCAACACCGACGAGTATTAGGTGGAGACAGAGGGAGAGAGAACAAAGGAATGAGAGAGCCTTTTGGTAACATTCTTTTTTTTCCTGAATGTATGATCCTCAAAAAACAATTCAGATGTGCCTACACTTGGCCCTCCCCTTCCCTCAGTATGACCTCTGAATGTAGGCTTCCAGCTTTTAGGCCACTATGCTGCTAGAAATAGCAGACTGGGTCATATCTCTCTCTCTTTCTGTATCTCAGCCCATCTTCTTATCTCCCTCTTCTGTTCTGGGCTCCTAAGAGAGAGCGCAATACATTACATGAACCTTGGTAGTGATGTTGAGAGCTTTTTGTTGGATTTGAACAACTGCAACAGTTCACATCACAGTGTCGACTGTCACAGCACTGACATCAATGTTGGGACAACTTCTGAGAACACTTCTGTTTTTCAATTTCGTTATATATATATATACCATAATATTTATCAATATATTATATTGCAAAATATATTAACATGAATCACTGCATGATTTAAAAATGCTCCAAATAGCACATTGAGCTCCAACTGATGCAAGAACATCTGACATAATATTTTATATGGATGGAAATGAGGCTGTATTTGCAATGGCGAAGGTCCTAGATCACTTAGATCACTTTCAAAGCTGGAATGGAGTTTTTGTCTACTAAAAGTCTTTTGGAAAATGTTTTGTCAGCTGAACAATTAGCATGTTGTTAAACAAGAGTACAATCCATTGAACACGCTGTACTTCCAATACTAACAGCCTTGTTTTCATTGCTGTCAAAAAATAAATATGGTGCTACCCTTACTAATGTCTATCATATATTGAACTAAAATAGTGTAGTAATTTATTTTTATTATTTTTTATTTATTTATTTAACATGTAGTCTACACGTATAACTAAATATAGTTTATACACAACATAAAAAAAAATACACCATATTAGTCTATTTTAAAATAATGCAGGAAGCATAGTAATTAACTGTAGCAACGCTCAACGCTCATCCCACCTTTGAGGAGAATAATTGTAGATGGGTGTTATTTGCGCACGCACCAGCAGGTGGCTCACATGAGTCAACATGTGTCAACAGAACCAGGAAATACTGTATGATGAAGCAACGCTAAATATAGCGTTATTCTGTAAAAAAACTCATTTATTTAATTTTAAATGAAACAAATGTAATCCTTATAGTATTCCAACTTTTTTTTTACAAAATGTAACTTTAATCTGAATACTTTGTTTTTTGATGTAACTGTAACGGATTA